ATGTGGCTGACTCAGTTAATGGGTTCTCTCCGGACGACGGCATTAAATCCATTAACTGAGTCAGCCGCATAGTCAACAGTCCTCCTTGTACCATCGGAATCTGTTAAGGAGTAGCTCCCCTGGACGACGTTTCCATTTCTGGACTCGCTGTGGGATTTGCTGTCTCCTGTAAGAGCATCTTCCACGTTGTAAGCATAGGAATATTGGGGGTTGGGGTCATATTCGGCATCTACAACAGAAAGTGGAGCTGCACGGGCCAGAGGGGCTGGAGCAAAGACTGGGGCTGGTGCCGCTCTGAAAAGTGGTGCCGGAGGCGCTGCAGCAATGAGGGGTGCAGCTGGTGCTATGATACCGCCCTTCACTAATGCGAGGAATGCCACAAAAAATACGACTTTAAGTGCCATTTTGTTTCTGCTTCTGTTGCTCGATGGAAGACTGACGAAAAGCATCCCTTCGCGGCTTTTTATACTGTTTTAATTCGAAATGCATTGTTGTCGGTCAAGTTTATTTTTGGTACAGCTGCGACCCGTGTGAGATAATACGATTGAAGTGGGTCACGCCCACTCTTCAATGAAGACAAGTATTGTCACAACAGCTACTGCTTGTTAAGTATGTAACAATGCGAAGAAAACGAGTTCAAGTTTGAAAATGGCCGAGAAATTCGTACGCCTGTTACATCAGATTCACATGAAAGTGGTATTTTAAACTGGAGCATTCAAATGCCTCCGTTGATGTTTTCGATAACGTAACCCATAATACTTAATATCGGACAACCGCTTAACTAATTTCAATTTTAATGAACAACTAAATTTTTTCTTGGTGAATTATATTGTTTTTATTAATTTTCAGATTTTAAAAAGTTGAACACACTTTACAAATCGATTGCGAATATTTTTCAATTTCATTAATGTAATGAAGTTAATAATTGATACGTGTTTATTCAATATTAAATAAAAAGAATTTGTCTTCAAAACAAAGTGTACTGCATAAACTACTTTTTTTTTCATGTGGCAAATTTGCTCGACGTTGGAACTAAAATTTATTATTGCTTCACTTTTTTTATTTATGAACGCATTATCATATTTAAATTCCATGTTACATTTACATACGATTAGATGCCTGAAACAAAACTTCATAATCCTAAAGATGGACAATTCAATAATTTTGTAATTTGGTAGTGGAATTAAAACGGCTTAAAAAATCATACCAATATTTATATTGTTTTAAAGACAGAATAAATACCTTATTAACAGATTAATTAAAATAATATGTCTAACTGCTTATCGAGTTTGAGATTGATAAAATCTTTTTTTATGACTTCGGAATTTTTGTGACAGTAAAATATCAAAGAGTCAAAAAATCGCCCCACATGCATATTTCATGTGGAATTCCTTGGAATTGCTACAATAAGTCTAATGCAACCATTAATTTCAAACGGCTGGGCGTGTCCAATTTGAATATGTAAACTTGACCGGGCCACCTTACCTACTAGACAAGGTTTTGCGAAATTTTTTCGTATAAAAAAGCAAGTCGATTGTCACCAATTCAGTAATCGAATAACCTTCTCAGCAAAATGGTACAACGATTCCTTGTATTCGTCCTCTGCGTAGCGTTCACCCATGCTGGAAACCTATTGCCAGCACCAGCTCCTGTTTTCAGGGCTGCACCTTTACCACCCTTTGCGCCACCTCCTCTTGTAGCAGCGCCTGCACCATTGTTTAGGACAGCACCACCTTTGGCTCCAGCACCATTGTTAGCTCATCCACCAGCACCTTTCGTAGCTCCTGCTCCACTTTTGAGAGCTGCTCCTCTCCCACCACCAGTTTATGCACCAGCGCCACTTGCTCCTTTGCCTCCACCAGTTCTAAGAGCTGCCCCAGTTCTTGCTCCAGCTCCAGTCGTCGCCAAAACCATCGTGGATGCCGAATACGATCCCAACCCCCAATACTCTTTTGGATACACCGTTGACGATGCCCTCACTGGTGATAGCAAAGCCCAAATCGAAACCCGAAGTGGAGACGTTGTCCAAGGTAGTTACTCTCTGACTGACTCTGATGGTACGAGAAGAATTGTTGATTACGCTGCTGATCCTATCAACGGATTCAATGCTGTAGTAAGGAAAGAACCTCTCGTTGCCCCGGCACCAGTTGCTTTTGCAGCCCCTCACCCCCCGGTTATAGCGAAAATTCACTAATTTTATGCAATTTTACTTTTGTATACGACTGGAATTCTGTAAATATGACTTTGTCTGTGTATATATGTATTTAACTAGAAAATTAAATTTGAAATAATGAATTTGGTGCATTTTTATTTCAATTGTTAATGATGTTTTTACTTACTTTCAAAACCACTATTATAAAAGACTATAAGGAATCTTAAGGATTTTAACATAAAAATTCATAACTCCGCTTGACGTAAGATGTTTTGAAACTGGATAGTGCCTGCTTGAGTTACATTTTCTAGTAGAGCGAACTATTAAAGATAATGCAAACATTCTTTAACTAGGAGTTGATCCGTGCCTTGGTAAACAGGATGGGGTTAATTTTGAAGGAAAAAATTTCCAAAAATCAGCAGCAGCCATTTTATGATACCCACTCAAAGACGGAACATCCGTCTGTGAAAATTGTTTTCTGAAANCAGTTCTTCTAATTTTTCGTCTCCTATCTTTATATTCGCTTTTTCCCTACGTTTTCTTCCCTTGCATACCAGGTACATACAATTATAATAGCTTTCCAGAAATTGTAAAAAAATATTTAATATCTTTTATTTAACATACCACACCTTTTTAATGGTGTCAGTGTCTAATAGCTAGTAATTAGATAGGTATTCTATGTCTTATTTTTTTAAGAAAGCTACTGTTAGACTCGAAACCAAAATCAGCAATTTCCTAATGCATAATTGACGAAGAATTAAATTCACGACTCACGGCTGCCAATGTGATACGAATACAAAAAATGTTTGTTTCATAATATGTTATCCAAAAAATCGTAATAATGCAAAACAACACTTTTGAATTTAGTACAACAGAGTTTAATAACTTCTTAACTATACCTATAAAAGTACTGAAGGAAAAGTCCAACGATTTCTCTAATGATTAGAAAAATAAAGATAAAAGATTCTGGACGATTATTTTTAAGGATGTGTAGAAATAAAAAAGTTGTAGTAACTTAAATTAAATTGATTTCTTTCGTATAATAATAACCAGTACATACATATGCGTACGTATGAAAGTTAAAAGTAACGAGAAGTAGCTAAAATAACTCTTTTCAGCATAATAATTATCTACCAACTCCCCTTCTGGTAGGGTGTGGAACATTTCAACAAAAAATAGTCATTTTCCTTACAAATCGGACGTCATAAAATGAACAGTTGTGGTTAGATTTTAACAGTTACCTACCTGTTACAAATGTTTAACTTTTTGATGAAAGGCAAATAAAATGTAAAGCGTCTAGAAAAATAGATTTACTTATTTAAAAGTATTGACTAACCATTTTTCCTATCAATTTAATGTCGACAATGAACTTTCGAAATGGAAAGAATTATTTTAGAAATGGAGGAATCTGCATTTATCTCAATATATCTACAAGAAGCGATTACTAAATACTAAAGTCTAGCTTGAATTGCATAAGTTTGTATTATACAGGTCCTAATGCACACAAGATTATCGTTAAAACAAACAAGTAGGTGCACCTGATTCCATTTATGCTAATAAAAAGTACACGTACACAAAAGGACATGGGCCGTACCCTCCATGTTGCATATTAATCAAAATAATGATGAAATAATTATTTCTGAATAAAAAATAATAAGTGCAAAAAGCTTAGTATCAAAGGTCTTTACTTTTGTTAAAATAGTTAAGATAAACATTAGGCATAATTAATCGCTTTATATGCTTACAAAATTATTAATAGAAAAATATTCAAGAATTTCCAAAAACGCATAGGTATACGTATTTTATATCATCATCATCATAAGGTCGTCAGTCCTAAGACTGGTTGGACACGCACCTCCACTCTTTCCTATCCTGACCTACACTTCGCATTTCCCTAAAACTAGAACAACCCACATCCCTAACTATTTGCGAACAGGTCTGGGTCTACCTCTACCCCTCCTAACTCCTGTTTCTGCCTCTAATATGTCTCTGACTAGACCATCATGCCTGAGAAGGTGTCCTACCAACCTATCTCGCCTATTTTTTATTGGCTTCCATAGAGTCCTCTGTTCTCCTATTTTTTCTAATACCTCTTCATTTCTAACCTTTTCTACCTACGTGATCCTCATCATTCGCCTATAACACCACATTTCGAAGGCTTCTAACCTTTTCTTTTCCGCCGCGCCCACTGTCCATGTTTCGCACCCGTACAACGCCGCGCTCCAAACATACACCTTTAACAACCTTTTATGAATTTCTAAATTAACCGTTCGCGAGCATAGAAGTGACTTCTTTTTTTTTTAATGCGACGCGACCCTGCGCTATCCTCTGCTTTATATCCCTACTGCTCCTTCCATCCTGACTTATCTGACTTCCTAGATATCTAAAATCAGCCAGTTCTTCTAATTTTTCGTCTCCTATCTTTATATTCGCTTTTTCCCTACGTTTTCTTCCCTTGCATACCAGGTACATACAATTATAATAGCTTTCCAGAAATTGTAAAAAAATATTTAATATCTTTTATTTAACATACCACACCTTTTTAATGGTGTCAGTGTCTAATAGCTAGTAATTAGATAGGTATTCTATGTCTTATTTTTTTAAGAAAGCTACTGTTAGACTCGAAACCAAAATCAGCAATTTCCTAATGCATAATTGACGAAGAATTAAATTCACGACTCACGGCTGCCAATGTGATACGAATACAAAAAATGTTTGTTTCATAATATGTTATCCAAAAAATCGTAATAATGCAAAACAACACTTTTGAATTTAGTACAACAGAGTTTAATAACTTCTTAACTATACCTATAAAAGTACTGAAGGAAAAGTCCAACGATTTCTCTAATGATTAGAAAAATAAAGATAAAAGATTCTGGACGATTATTTTTAAGGATGTGTAGAAATAAAAAAGTTGTAGTAACTTAAATTAAATTGATTTCTTTCGTATAATAATAACCAGTACATACATATGCGTACGTATGAAAGTTAAAAGTAACGAGAAGTAGCTAAAATAACTCTTTTCAGCATAATAATTATCTACCAACTCCCCTTCTGGTAGGGTGTGGAACATTTCAACAAAAAATAGTCATTTTCCTTACAAATCGGACGTCATAAAATGAACAGTTGTGGTTAGATTTTAACAGTTACCTACCTGTTACAAATGTTTAACTTTTTGATGAAAGGCAAATAAAATGTAAAGCGTCTAGAAAAATAGATTTACTTATTTAAAAGTATTGACTAACCATTTTTCCTATCAATTTAATGTCGACAATGAACTTTCGAAATGGAAAGAATTATTTTAGAAATGGAGGAATCTGCATTTATCTCAATATATCTACAAGAAGCGATTACTAAATACTAAAGTCTAGCTTGAATTGCATAAGTTTGTATTATACAGGTCCTAATGCACACAAGATTATCGTTAAAACAAACAAGTAGGTGCACCTGATTCCATTTATGCTAATAAAAAGTACACGTACACAAAAGGACATGGGCCGTACCCTCCATGTTGCATATTAATCAAAATAATGATGAAATAATTATTTCTGAATAAAAAATAATAAGTGCAAAAAGCTTAGTATCAAAGGTCTTTACTTTTGTTAAAATAGTTAAGATAAACATTAGGCATAATTAATCGCTTTATATGCTTACAAAATTATTAATAGNCGCAAACGGCGATGGAAGAACATCTTAATTCAGTTCCGTTTGCATTAATTTGACCAACAACTTTCATTTTCGCCCGCCCGTACTGGTTTATCTCGACATTTCGGCATTATTAGAATTTCTAGTACTGTATCGAACTGAACTAATTGTTTGTGAAATGTTAGGTAGCTGTTAACCATGGGCGTTGCATCTATTAGCATAAACTTGACCGAAGGATTGCAGACCAGTTTGCCAAAATTCACAGTATAAAAAGGTAACAAATTCTCATTAAAATCAGTGTCTGCTCAAGTTCTAACCAAGAACAATAGCAACGTACGTCATATACAAAATGGTTTTCAAACTGTGCTTGTTTGCTACTTTGGTGGCTTTAGTTCGTGGAGGATTTTTAGCCCCAGCACCCGCACCTTTGCTTAGGGCAGCACCTCTACCACCACCGGTTTTTGCTCCAGCTCCAGTTTTCCGAGCTTATCCGCCACCACCTCCACCACCAGTTTTCGCTCCAGCTCCGGTATTCAGGACTGCACCCTTACTACCACCGCCAGCAATAGCCGCACCAGCTCCAGTCTTCAGGTCAGTCCTTCCTCCTCCTCCGGTAGTTGCTCCAGCTCCAGCTGTGATCGCCAAAACCATCGACTACGACCCTAATCCCCAATACTCTTACGGATACACCGTTGACGATGCCCTCACTGGTGACAGCAAAGCTCAATTCGAAACCCGAAGTGGAGACGTTGTTCAAGGAAGTTACTCTCTGTCTGACTCTGATGGCACAAGAAGAACTGTTGATTATGCTGCCGATCCTATCAATGGATTCAATGCTGTAGTAAGGAAAGAACCTTTAGTCCTTCCTCCTCCTCCCGTTGGATACGCTGCTCCTGTTGTGGCGAAATTCCACCACTAATAGCAAGTGAGTGAAGTTTTCAACAACTCAGGATTGATAAATGAATAATTATTATAAATTATATTACTTTGAATATATAGGTACTCATATTTGTCAATGTAAATATGTTGTATAGAAATGAACTAGTTTACTTTTTGTAAATAAATTATTTGCAAAGCATGAAGGTGTTATAAGTTAAATATTAATGAATCAGTTTCATTTTTACATAAACCATATCGCGTTAGGTAATTTTATAGCTACTGCTGCATTTTATTATCACTTCCAAATCAACTGACTTCAAATAGTGAACACACGTTGTGTGATTGATTGAATTTCTATGAACAATAAATTAACAAATGGAATCAGATAAAGAGAATAGTTCGACCAGGTGTTGTATCGCCTACTCTGCCTTTTTTGAACCGTTGGCATTAAATAAATCTTAATAGTTCTTTTGTGAACGGTGATAGCCGAAAAAGTGAATTTATTAATAATAGTCCAACCGAAAAGAACAATACAATGAATTACAAAATAAGTAAGTAAATAAAATTAACTAAAATTAACTGTAAATTTGCGATGATTAGTTGAAGAATGTTTTCGCTCATGTTACAAAATTTATATTAAGTATATTACAAACCTTTTAATGCCGAAAAGACGAACAATTGATTTTATAAGAATTCCGATTTTAGGATTCATAACCAAATGGTAAACATTGGACCACGAAAAAAAAGGAGATTTTTAATAAAAAAATTTGAAAAGCTGAAAGAGTTTCCAAACTTTTAAAAGGTTTATTAAGCAAATTTTCTAGGCCCTTTCGTTCTTTAAATATTAAGTGACATACAATGTATCTCCTGGGTACAAATTTGTACATAGAATCCCGAAAAAGAGCACTAATAATTAGAAATCGATAGTAAGCATAGTAGGGAGAGTTTCCAAAAATTCCTTTTTTTGGTATGTATTTGCATTCATCATCATAAGATCGTCAGTCTTAAGTCTGGTTTGACACACACCTCCACTGTTTCCTATCTTGAGCTAATCATAGCATTTCCTTAAAACTAGAACAACCCATAA